AGGTAACATTGATATATAGACCTACAGAATCAAATTATATTTAAAGATGTTAAAGAAAGTTGCTTCTCCTATCTTTTTTTCAAATTAGGGAATCTATAATTTATATTTTAATATTACTATGACAAATTTTAGGGAGGGGTCAACTTTGCCAGGGTTTCAGAATTCAAACACATTTCTGTGGAGTCTCTGTCAGGTCACGTTCTGGGATTATTTTTTACGAAAGTTCATAAATGGTTGGTTCAGATTTTTTTAATATTCTTTCAGCTCAGTATTAAATAACTTATAGGAATAGAGAAGGCAACAAGAAAAGAAAAACTGACTCAGAAATGTTTTCTTTAAGTAAATTTTGATCTACACTATGAATTAATTCTTAAAATGGCATAATTTAAATATTTCAATACAAAGTAACACAGCAATTTTTATGTTTCTCAGTTGTTACCCAAACTACTTTTGGTAGTGTACTGAAGAGACCAACAGTATTCACAATAATAGGTCACTTTGTTGCACTTTCTGTTGTGAGTTTTTACCTCTGGAGCAGAGATAAAATGCATGCAAGCTATAACGCAGTGAATTCGAATCAGATTATTTTGTATGAAATTTTAGCTTCACCACAAATAGGGCTTCCCTGATAGTTGGTTAATAATCCACCTGCAATGTGGGAGACCTAGGTTCAATCCCTGGGTTGGGAAGATTCTCTGGAGAAGGGAACGGCTACCCACTCTATCTGGAGAAGGAAACGGCAACCCACTCCAATATTCTTGCCTGGGGAATCCCATGGACAGAGAAGCCTGGTGGGCTGCAACCCATGGGGCTGCAAAGAGTTGGACACAACCGAGTGATTTTCACTGATGGTGTGGTCACTGTACGTATCCCTCTTGTCATTAGTAAAATATCAATAATGATGCTATTGTCACCTCCTAAGTGTAATAATCCACATTATAGCACTGAATATATTACCTCAAAGGAATTATGAATTCAATAATGGTTGTTTTGATTTTATTACTTTATTATTGATCATATGGATGAAAGAGATAAAACAATACACTCTTTAGAGTGATTTGAAAATGTTATGAAAATTCCCAAACAAATATTATTTTTTGAAAAGTGAAAACTAATTTTAGCTGTTTATTTGGATCCTGGAAATAACACTCGAAAAAAGAAAAGAAAAAAATACAATAATCTAGCTAACAGTTAGGCTTTCCCAGTGGCTTAGTGGGTAAAGAATCTGCCTGCAATGGAGAGACAAGGGTTCAGTCCCTGGGTTGGAAGGATCCCCTGAAGGAGGAAAATGGCAACCCACTCCAGTATTCTTGAGCCTGAAAAAGTCCATGGACAGAGGAGCCTGGTGGGCTACAGTCCAAAGAGTTGCAAAGAATTGGACACAACTGAGTGACTAAAGCATGCACAGCTAATAGAAATTTATATATATCTTTCTTAAGAATTGAAGTGTAACAGCCTCAAGACAAGTGACTGGTTAGGCATCAGAAACATGAATAATTACTGGGAAACAATGAATATCATTATCAGGTGAATAAAACAGTGAAACATTCTTTTCTTCAGTGCGGAAAAGATCTACATGTAACAATGGAACAGGATCAAATTAGTCAGTGCTGTGATAAAAGTAGGCATGGAATGACATCACAGACCAGAAGTAGTGATCCTCTATGACTGAAGTGCAGTACACATTGAAGAATGTGGAGGGAATTGAGATAGGATGGATGGTGGTAGCCGGACACTGGAAGTTCTTGAATATCAAACTAGAGTGTTGAAACTTAAATTTGTGACAAGGCATGAATGGCTGTTGAGCAGGATTTTTACATCATTTGAAAGGCTGTTCTCTGGACAGCTCTATGAAATGAGAACTGGGAAGACAGGAAATTAGAGTGAGGGGTTGGAAAACCTCAGAACAGCATATAAAGACTTCAAGTTTTGCAAAGTTGATGCTTTGGGTCATGACTATTTCAAAATATCAGTAATCTCAATATTATTTCAAAAGTCATCATATAGATACTAGTTAAATGAGCATGTGCTTTAAATGATTATTCTTAAAAAGAATAATAATAAGCATTCTTAATATTTATAGAAAACTACAACAAATAACTATGCTTTTACCAATATCAAAAACATATGTTTTAAGAGGAAAATTCAAGGAAATGGAAAAAATATGGGTATATATTTACTTTTGACTTTACAAAAATTATTTTTATAGACAAATATCCAGAGTTCTAGATACCTGTTGAGTACATGCTGAAGCATCTTTGGACTGTATGTAAGAGTGACAAAATTTAAAGCACAAGGAACTTTAAATAAATAAAGGCCATATACATGGGCATAATGGCACCATCTCCTGATTTAGAAACAGACAGTTGTCTTGAACTATTTGTTCTAAAGTGATTTATTCTTGAAAGTAGTTTGTCTTTTAGTTGACAAATTTTCTAGATGATAATTTGCTAGGACAGAAATTGTCTGTCTTAATAAAAGATTAAAAATAAAATTAAACACAACTCTCAAAGATAAGAAAAACTGGAGAAAGGTATTTCTTAGATAGATTGATAGTAAGAGATAGATAGCTTCCCTGGTGGCTCAGATGGCAAAGTGTTTGCCTGCAATGCAGGAGACCTGGGTTTGATCCCTGGGTTGGGAAGATCCCCTGGAGAAGGAAATGGCAACCCACTGCAGTATGCTTGCCTGGAAAATTCCATGGACAGAGGAGCCTGGTAGGTGACTGTTCATGGGGTCGCAAAGAGCCGGACATGACTGAGCCACTTCACTTCATTTCAAGAGATAGATACATGCAATTTCAAATTGCATTGTAAGGAAAAGATTCCCCGGAAGTCATATCTTTTTATATTTCTTATTTTATTATTAATACAAATAACAATAAAGAATTATTAGATCCCAGATTATTTTCAAAGATTCTTAAAGTATTAACTGGCAACTACCTCTGTAATTTGATAATTTTTTAAATGCTGGACAAAATATGAAAAAATGGCAATATTACATCATGGGCCTGTAGTTTTAGGTGGTATATAAAAGTGCACCTAGGAATTTTATATCTAGTTTAAGTTTTACAATAAAGATATACCAGCACAAAATCTATGAAATTAATTGGTAAACACTGATAATAAGTTATTACAAATGCAATTTATAATAAATAGCATGAGTTCACACAAAAGAGGTTCTATCATTTTTCTTATCTTTTCATAAAAGAATAAAGGGTATGATAGTGTGTAAGAGAGTGAGAATCAACTATAATTTACCTTGCATTAATATAATTTTTCATTCTGCTTTATTTGATAGTTATCAAAGACTTAGGAAAAGAAAGTATGGATAATATAACTTATCTATGCTAACACAATGAGCTAGGAAGTATGTTTCAAATTACAAGTAATGACTCAGTGAATTTTGAAATCAGTTTCGCAGGTCAAGATCTGCATTAAAAAAGTAATAGAAAAGAAAAGGAAATCATAGTAATAAAAAAGAGAAAATATGAGCTAAGGATAAGTATTATTTCATAGTTTTATTTTAATTATGTGTGTTCAGAGTTGCGATATAAAGTTCATTGTTGTTGTTCAGTTGCTAAGTCATGTCCGACTTTTTGTGACTCCATGGACTGTAAGCCTGCCTTGCTCCTCTGTCGATGGGATTTCCCAGGCAAGAATACTGTAGTGGGTTGCTATTTCCTTCTCCAGGGGATCTTCCAGACCCAGGGATCAAGCCCACATCTCTTGCATTGGCAGGCAGATTCTTTACCACTGAACAACCAGAAAAGCCCATAAAATTGATAAGAATACAAATTGTAGCTGAAAGTGCTTGAAAAACCTGATCTCAAGGGTCACACTCAGAAAAAATGTCAATGTATCAGTGTAAGCCTGAGATGGAATTCCACAGGAGAATTCACTGGGTTCAGCCCTGGGTGCAGGGATATTGTATTATCTTGTCTATGTCTCAGGTAATGAAAAGTAGAACATATTTAAGTTGCTGATCATTAATGCACTCGTGTGTGCTCAGCCATGTCTGACTCTGCAAACCTATGGACTGTACCCCACCGAGACTCCTCTATCCAAGGGATTCTCAGGCAAGAATACTGGAGTGGGTTGCCATTTCCTCCTCCAGGGGATTATACTGATGCAGTTGTTGAAACTGCATCTCCTGCATTGTCAGGCAGATTCTTTTACCACTGAACCACTAGGGAAGCCCGACCATATCTAACAGGGAGCTGGTAAAGTATCAGAACCTTCAAATAGAGAACGTCAGTAATTCAAATGCAGTACTTTTTATTTTGGTTACGTACTGGGAAAGCCATGAGAGTTGTTCCTTTTTGATTACCTAAAAATTAGGCAGGGTTTCATAGGATTTAAAACTGTGTCAGTGAAAATTTTTTAGGGATTTAAAAGTAGTGTCTACTTTAGTAATGCATTAGTAAAAATGCTAAGCAAATGTATATAAAATTTTATATTAAAAAATTTTCAGAACATGTATTTGGAATCATAAGCAATTATATTCTAATCTCAATATTATATACTATATATTAATATCAGGGAGGTTAAAATACTGTGTCCTATATATCACTGAAAGGCTTTAGTTGTCTTCATAGCATATGTGCTGCTGAAGCGAGCACTTTAGTTGTCTTCATAGAATTCAATCTCTTATTACTTCTAAGTTGCTGTGGAATATAATCTTAGATATGAATGATTTCACAATTGAGATTGTGATTGATATTGCTCTCATGGATGCTTATTAAAATAAAATTTTTTTCCTTGGTTGAACAAATATAGGTCCTAACATAAGCCAGTGTATAGTTTTCATTTGATATTTTGATATAAAGTTCTTATTGAAGTATCATGATAGCTCAATGGAGATTCTTTTTGCTGTATATCTTTTCCTTCACTTTCTTGGAGGAAAACAACTTTCATTTTGTGGAGCCATGCCAACAATAAAATTATGATTTCATTCTGGTCCAGCACACTAAAATAAACAAATTATTTACTCCCACTTACCTTGCTACATGATTAATTACAGGAGCAAAATTGGTTGGCCCATACAGTTGCACAGATTTCAGACTCCTATAATAAGCTTCCATGACACCATCAATGCCAGCACAGTAGGGGTTTTGGGGGTTCCCATTCTGTAGAAAGTTACAGCAAAAACAGCAAAGAATGAATAATGTCTATAAAAATAAACTAAAAAAAGAGAACAATACATGTTGATATCCATAAAGGTTTTGTTAAAGAAAACTCAGTTATATATTTATAATAGCAAATAATAATAATAAATTGAGTAATCAACAATAGATTATAATATATAATATTAAATAGATTGTGATATGCAGTAATGTGCAATCATTAAAAATGGATACTTTTCAACTAACAGGCAGAAGAAAATTCTAAATAATCTTGAGAAGTTGAATATCACAACATTTTATGATTAATACTGTCTTATACACAGATCTATGAACATATAGAGATGAACATATAAAAATCTGAAAAGAAGATTAGTAGAGTGACTACCTCTGAGTTGTTAAATAATTGTCAATTTTTATTTCATTGTTTAGATTATTCTATATTTTCCAAGGTTTCTGAAGTTATGTATATCAAAATCAGGAAAAATACTATCAATTCAAATAGTTTTACTTTATGGAAGTTCAGTTCAGTTCAGTCGCTCAGTCATGTCTGACACTTTGCGACCCCATGAACTGCAGCACGGCCAGGCCTCCCTGTCCATCACCAACTCCCGGAGTCTACCCAAGCCCATGTCCATCGAGTCAGTGATGCCATCCAGCCATCTCATCCTCTGTTGTCCCCTTCTGCCTTCAATCTTTCCCAGCATCAGGGTTTTTTCCAGTGAGTCAGCTCTTCGCATTATGGAAATAAAAATATAAAATATCTGCCACTTTCACATTTTCAGGTCAAAATTGATAACCCCAAATAAAGAAGGGATCAAAGGGAATGTAATTTGGTGTGAGTAGCATCAAGACAAGGTAAAGTGAAAGGAATTAGAGAAACTTGTTCATATTTTTCAATGGAATTGGAGCTTGCCACAGGAGTTCTTGGGCTTCCTAGGTGGTCAGTGGTAAAGAATCCTTCTGCGATGCAGGAGATGTAAGAGACACGGGTTGATCTCTGGGTCCGGAAGATCCCCTGGAGGAGGGCATGACAACCCACTCCAGTATTCTTGCCTGAAGAATCCCATAGACATAGAAGCCTGGCAGGCTACAGTCCATGGGGTTGCAAAGAGTCGGACATGACTGAAGTGACTTAGCACAGCACAGGAGTTCTTATTCGGCAGATAGAATCTAGAAGGGTAACTGGAGACTTAGTCCAGCTTTCTCATACTCTGAATGCTCTGTTATTAAGGTTTAATTCTCTGAGTCCAGATTCCACAAATAACACAAATAAGGCATTGTTATCTACTGCTATTTAGCAAACCATTCCAAAAGGTAGTGGCTTAAAACAGCAGGCATTTATTATCCCATATATTTTTTAGCCAGGTGATTTTTACTCTGGATCTCTCAAGAGCTTACGGTCAAGAAGCTAAGCTTGGCTGCAGTCATCTGAAAGCATGACCAGAGTTGGATAATCTGCCTCTAAGAAGGCTCACCTGTATGGTTTTCTGGCAATAAGCTAAAGGAACTTTGCATAGGGCTGCTTGAGTATTCCAACAACATGGTGGCTAACTTCTCCAAAATGAGAGAGAGCAAGGAGGAAGCTCCAATAAGCCCCAAAACTAATCTTATAAGATGTAGAGCATCACTTTTAGTTTCATCTACTTTTTAGAAATGAGTCACTAAGTGTAGCCTACATTCAACAGAGGAGGAATTAGGTTCCACCTCTGGAAGGGGGGTAATATAAAAAAAAAAATGTAGTTATGATTTTAAAACACTAGAGACAGTAACCATGCTTAAGCATGTAAGTGAAAGTCACTCAGTCATGTCTGACACTTTGCGACCCTATGGAATATACAGTCCATGGAATTCTCTAGACCAGAATACTGGCGCGGATAACCTTTCCCTTCTCTAGGGGATCTTTTCAACCCAGGTATTGAACTCAGGTATCCCACATTGCAGGAGGATTCTTTACCAACTGAGCTATCAGGGAAGCCCAACTAAACATAATCACTATGCTTAAACATAATGAGTATGTATATTTTTTATCTGAATAATCAAAGTGTGAAAGTGTTAGCTGCTCAGTCATGTCTGACTCTTTGCGACCCCATGGACTGTAGCTTCTGTCCATGGAATTCTCCAGGCAAGAATGCTGGAGTGGGTTGCCATTTCCTTCTCAAGAGCATCTTTCCAAACCTGTGGGGCTGAACACAGGTTTCCTGCACTGCAGGCACTATTTTTTACCATCTGAGCCACCAGGAAACCACCACTATGTAACGATATTACAAAACCCTAAGCATTTGAAAGACTGAGGATCTCTTAGTGAACTAAGCCAAATGTTACCAGTGACTTCAATTTTGTCACCTGTGAAAGAATAATTTATATCCACCTTATTCTTTAAATTTTGTCTTCTCCTTCAAAAGTTATTAATTAACCCTCATGTAACTTTTAAAACATAAAAGTAATAAAATAACTATTTATATTATAAAATTGACTATACAAATTGAAATTAAAACATAAAAGTATAATATTTAGCACAAAATAGTAATTGGTTGGTTTTGATGTTAATCTGAGCTGACCTTTAATTAATCTTCCTTTAAATATAAGTTTAGGTTGTTCTTTTGCTTGATAAGGTATAAAGCTAGTTAAAATTAAAACTCATTACTGATTTTGGGCATATAAAATGTATTATATATCTGCCTTAAGGGTACACTTACAAACCAGGATAGTTCTGATAGTTCTGATCAGCATTTGAACATTTTAACTGGGATGGGATTTATGTTCCTATAAAACTATGTATTTCCTTTATTCCTCTGGAAATAACAAGGTACCATTTTCCCCATCATTTTATTTATGTTGATAGAATGATTTTCTAAATCTTTAAAACATTTATTTCTTAAAATAATTACACGGGGAATTGTTTTTTGCTTAAGACAAATAGAAATAAGCTTATGTGAGGCTTTAACACAAAAGTAAAATGCAGATCGCTTTTGAAAATAAATACACTTAATTTTGTTGTTTACTAAGGAAGAGGGCAGAAGATTTTCTTTTAAGGTCTGTTACCATGTGCGTATTAGAAATATTTCCTCCTAATATTTCCTTTACACTATTGTATCTAAAGTTCAGTTCAGTCACTCAGTCCTGTCTGACTCTCTGCGATCCCATGGACTACAGCATGCCAGGCTTTCCTGTCCCTCATCAACTCCAGGAACTTACTAAAACTCATGTCCATTGAGTCGGTGATGCCATCCAACCATCTCATCCTCTGTTGTCCCCTTCTCCTTCTGCCCCCAATCCCTCCCAGCATCAGGGTCTTTTCCAATGAGTCAGTTCTTTGCATCAGGTGGCCAAAGGATAGGAGTTTCAGCTTCGGCATCAGTCCTTCCAATGAATACTCAAGACGAGAATTGACTGCTTGGATCTCCTTGCAGTCCAAGGGACTCTCAAGAGTCTTCTCAACACCACAGTTCAAAAGCATCAATTCTTCAGCACTCAGATTTCTTTATAGTCCAACTCACACATCCACACAAGACTACTGGAAAAACCATAGCTTTGACTAGATGGACCTTTGCTGGCAAAGTAATGTCTCTGCTTTTCAATATGCTGTCTAGGTTGGTCATAGCTTTCCTTCCAAGGAGTAAGCATCTTTTAATTGCAGTCACCATCTGCACTGATTATGGAGCCCAAAAAAACAAAGTCTCAATGATCACTGTTTCTATTGGTTCCCCATCTATTTGCCATGAAGTGATGGAACCAGATGCCATGATCTTAGTTTCTGAATCTTGAGCTTAAAACCAACTTTTTCACTCTCCTCTTTCACTTTCATCAAGAGGCTCTTTAGTTCTTTGCTTTCTGCCTTAAGGGTGGCATCATCTGCATATCTGAGGTTATTGATATTTCTCCCAGCAATCTCGATTCTAGCTTGTGCTTCCTCCAGCCCAGCGTTTCTCATGATGTACTCTGCATATAAGTTAAATAAGCAGGGTGACAATATACAGCATGCATGTACTCCTTTCCTGATTTGGAACCAGTCTGTTGTTCCATGTCTAGTTCTAACTGTTTCTTCTTGACCTGCATACAGGTTTCTCAGGAGACAGGTCAGGTGGTCTGGTATTCCCATTCTTTAAGAATTTTCCAGTTTGTTGTGATCCACACAAAGGCTTTACATAGTCAAAGAAGCAGAAGGAGATGTTCTTCTAGAACTCCCTTGCTTTCTACATGATCCAACAAGTGTCAGCAATTTGATCACTGGTTCCTCTGCCTCTTTGAAACCCAGCTTGTACATCTGGAAGTTCTCACTTCATGTACTGCTGAAGCCTAGCTTGAAGGATTTTGAGCATAGCCTTGCTAGCATGTGAGATGACAGCAATTG